ATTAAAATATTTTTTTCTGATTTTAATATACTAATATTAAAAAAAATTTAAAAGATTATTTTAATATATTTTCAAATAAAAAATACTTTTAAAAAATAACCAATAATATAGTAATAATGCCTGCAATATTTTTCTATTTTGACTTAAGATAGTCACGGTTGCCCGTGATTAAGTTTCTGGTCTGTGGTGTAGTTTGTATACCCAGCTTATGCTGTCATGCTGCAACATCTACGTTCTATTGCATTGAAAAGCTTTAAGACTAAGCTGGAAAAGACGGTGAGGAGTCTGGAAAAGACGGTGAGGGAGAAACGAGGAGATGAATTTGAAGCTTTTGTTGATTCTTGTGGTCAGTCGAGCATGCTCGAATTTGAGAAAGGATGTGAAGGTTATGTAATGTTGTATATGCACATATTATCTGTTTCTTTTTTTTATTATTCTCTTAAAACTTGGGATAGTATTCTATATACTACTTTGTTGTATATTAATACCCTGCTCTCTATCAGATGCAACTATAAAAAAAAGGGTTAAAGGTTGGGTTGCTGCAGAAGTCAATGTCAAGGATAGACTCCGCGGGGAAATAGAGACACTCAAATCCGATAAGAAAGCCGAATATAAGGTAATTTCCTTGGTTCATGTATTAAAATCCATGCCAGCTTTCCCTTGTATCTTTGTGCCTTATAATGCATATCCGAGTTTGGCTAATAGGCACTTGTACGCATGGGCTTTGATAATTTTCTTTTTCTTTGTATAATTTTCCTTCTTATTTTCTTGCTTTCTTTCCTCTTTTTTTTATTTATTTTGTGCCCAGTTAGTTATTTTTTAAAAAAAATCTCGTTAAAATTCATCCCTCTTATTTTTCTACACCTTCTGTTTTTCAATATAATTTCTAGATCTTTGGAATTTTTAATTTCTTTAAATACTTCACCATGACGTTAATTTTCTTGTTTTGACTCAAAATCATCCAAAAACATATATTCAAGAATTTATGTTGCCTACTAAACACTTCCATACTGAGATAAATTAAGAAAATTATAAGATTCCTAATTTCATACTAAATATATTCATATAAAACATTATATATATTTTTTGAAATATTCTACTTAATAGTCACGTAATACTTGGTGTGTTCTTGTGAAGGCTGAAAAGAAGAAAATCAAGAAAGAAAAAATTAAGAAAGGACTCACTATGGGTGCGGGGGTCGTGGCGGGGTTAACGGTGGGGACGGCAATGATGGTGGTTAGTGATCCAATCACGGCAACTGCAACAGGGATGGGGGCGTCGGCTGCAACAATACAGTTAATTGATGTTGCGAGAGATGCTCGTCATGGAAGTAAAGTTGCGAAAGAGAGTTGTCATAAGCACCGGTCTTAATTGGTTCAAAAGAAAACTATTAGCTCGAAATAGTATACAGGTTTTTACTTCTTATTTTTTTTTAAAAAAAAAAAGAAAACTATTGAAAACCCAAATATATGCGTTAAATATTAGCAAACATCTGATCACTTCTTACAAGAATACGAGGAGGACCAGCCAAGTTCATTTCCTTATCGAGCCATCCTTGTGCCTGGATATCTCTTTCTTTATTTATTCTTCAATATTATTACCATACAGATTTTCAATAACGACTGGTTTATACTTTACTTCGATTGAATAATCACTACATGCAAATGAAATTTTCAATAACGCATTCGTCATGATTATATAGTTAAATGTTATTTATTTTAATTAAGTGATCTTGTTCATTTTCATTTTTTTGTTATTTGAACGCATCAAGTTTTATTATTTGAAGGTGTTAGTTTTTAAATTTTCTTATTATCAATTATTTTTAATTATATTATGCCAAATGCATGTTGACATTTGGTTATTAAATTTATACGTCAACAGGCTGATATTTTCACCTAGTGAACATTTTACTTTATTTCTAATCAACATGTTGACATATGGTTATTAAATTTATAAATGTTAATAAATTTTTAATTTTTTTATTTGAATGCATATACTTTAATTTATTAAACTATATATATTTATGTTGGATGTCGCCCATGATCCTTTTAATTTTGACAAAGTTCTAATGAATTTTATCAACTTATTATAAAGTCTAAAAATATAAGAAAAATATTATATATATATATAATACTATAAAATTAATGCTAAAACATGCCTAAATTTCTAGATTTTTGTTGTTGCATGAAAAGTTTTTTTTTGATGCAATATATCACAATGATGTTATAGTACTCTAGCACATGCAAACGAAAAGTTACTGCCGGTGTACATGAATTTTTTGTGTGCATGAATTTTTAATTTATTTCTAATTAAGTCTTTATATTTTTTATTTTTTTCCTATTTGAATGCATATGCTTTAATTTTTTTATTTAAGTGTATGTACTTTTTTTTATTTGAGCTTTTATACTCTTAAAAATTTCTCAATGAGTGCTATTAATATTGAAATTTGACAAATATCCACTTTCTATTTAAGTTTTGATTGAGTTATCGGTTTTGACTTAATTACTTAATTAATTAGTTTTTTTTTAAATCAAAATAATATTATTTTGATTTTAAAAAATCAACAGGTTTACAACCGGGTCTTAACTGAGTCTTACCAGGTCAACTTACAGGGTCACACCAGGTTTCTTTTTTTCCTATTTTTTCTCCAACCCGGTTCAATTCTAGTCTCGGGTCAGTCAAATCCTGGATCGACCCATTAGAACGGCCCGGATTTCAAAACTATAATTTTTTAATATAATTTCTACATCTTTGGAATTTTTAATATCTTTCTTTAAATACTTCACCATTAGATTGATTTTCTTGTTTTAACTCTTAATCATCCAAAAACATATATTCAAGAATTTATGTTGCCTACTGATTAAATTCTTGCATACTGAGATAAATTTAGAAAATTATGAGATTCGCAATTTCATACAAAATATATTCAAATAAAACATTATATATTTTTTTGAAGTATTCTACTTAATAGTCACGTAATACTTGGTGTTTTCTTATGAAGTCTGAAAGGAAGAAAATCAAGGAAGAAAAAATTAAGAAAGGAGTCACTACGGCTGCGGGGGTCGTGGGGGCGGCACTGACGCTGGTTAGTGATCCAGTCACGGCAGGTGCAACAGGGATAGGGGTATCGACTGCAACAATACAGCTAATTGATACCGCGCGTGATATTGTTCGTGGACTTTAGTTAATATTTAATGTACCAAATCTTAGAGTCTGCTCGTGTTGATTTCCAGCTTTGTTTAATCAAGTTTTTATGTTATATTATTTAAACATATGATTATATAAATGTTATTTTTTTAATTAAGTGTTCTTGTTCATTTTCATTTTTTTTAATTTGTTATTTGAATGCATCAAATTTTATTATTTAAAGGTATTAATTTTTAAATTTTCTTATTATCAATTTTTTTTATTAGATTATGCGAAATTGACATATGGTTATTAAATTTATCATCAAGATGCTGGTATTTTCACCTAGTGAACATTTTACTTTCCTTTTAATCTTTTGTATAGATGAACTATATTTTTAAAAATAAAAAATATTTATTTTCAGATAATATTTCTATTATGTGCAGCCTTGTATATTATTCATTTTTTATTTTATTTTATTCAATAAATTTAATATATTTGTCTATTTATATTATCGTTTGATTAAAAAAATATTTTAATAAATAAAAATTAGCAAACATAATCATATAAGTGTCTCATCTCGAGAGATTGAATATTCTTAGGCTAAATAATATAATAGCAACTGAGAGATGATTTGTTAATTTAATAAATATTTTTTATTTCTTGATTTTTCAAGTTTTATTTTTAAATATTGTTAATAAATTTATTTATTTATTAGAGTACGGAGTTCTTAATTTATTTAATGATTACATGCATGACCTTTTTTATTTGCATGTGAATTTTTTGAACTACAAAAATATATTGAAAAAACCTTAATATATAATTTGTTTTATGAAAAATAAAAATATTGGACCGCACGAGTCACGTAACCACTAGATTTATTTATAATTTATTAAAAAAATACATTATATCTCGTAGTTTTTGTCTAAATAAATGTTAGATTCTATCTTTTAATTTCTAAATTTGAACCCCTTCAAAAATAAAAAAATGAAAACACAAATTTAGATTACAACAAACCTCATGTACAAATGGAGATTCCTAAACTACCATTGTAGATCTTTCAAACAAATAGTAGTGGAGCTGATGGTTCAAACGGAATGAGACAGTGATAGTAACTCGAATAATGGATGATGTCACCTTTTAATGTAAATAGAAAATGCTAGTCACCTGGGCGCGCCCAAATTAAAAATGACTTGCATCTCACTTGGGATGAAAGTTCAAAGCAAGGGAACTAAGACACCTAATTTTAAGAAAACTTGAATATCCTAATTATGCTAAAAGAGTTTGAAGATTAGTTTAGAAAACCTCCATAATTGAGAATTGATGAGCTTGAAGTAGCTTTAGAAATACCTCTCAAAGGGATTTGAAAAACTTAGGTGAAAATTCCAGGATAAAAAAAAAAGGAAACTAAAGTGAAGATTGTATAAAAATTTGAGGACCGAAGTGTAAATCCCGTGACGCCTTAATCGGTGAAAGGAATCCATCAAGTCAAGATAGAGAGATTAAAAAAATAAAAATTCCATTTGACACTATTCAAATAATTAAGACTTGAATATATAGAGACCAACTTATTTTTCTTTTTCTTATGAATTTACCAACCAACGTGATTTGGCACATGGCACAATATTAAGAGTTAATATTGTGAAGATTAAACCAAGCCTTTGGCTGAAATCTACTCAGAAAAAACCAAAGAAAAAGACACGCTATGTTCAACCTCTACCAAACCAAATTATTATAAAATTTAACTGCCAAAAAAAATTGTATATAAATTGCACTTAGAAGGATTCAGTGGCAAGAGTAACATTTTCCTCCAGCATAATAATCAAATATGAGCACGTCTCTGTGTCAAACTGGTTTCACATAATAATCAATCAAATACGAGCAGGTTTCTCCAGAAGCCACCACTCTACTTAAACCAGAGGACTGCAAATCATTGTGGATGAATTTCACAGAAAAGATAAAGCCTATGGTGACCGGAGCTAGATCCCGCCAGGTATATTTTACTTTGATATCACATTACATGTTCATTTGGTAATTTGATTGCATTCACAATATCTGTTTGAATGTTTTTCTTACTAAAAACAAAAACTTAATTTATTAGAACATTCTCGGTTTATCATTTGCCATCCTCAATTTATATACCAATTAAAGTTCCTATACTTCTAAACTTAAGCACTGAAACCAAGAAAAAACTTTAAGCCGATTAAAGATTTTATGACGAGAAATTTATGCATCACTCGAAATGTAATACATGGTGTTTCCTTCAGGATGGTCACAGGAAAACTGGAAGCTATGCAGCTGCTGCTGCAGTAGCTGGGGTCGTGGTGGGGCTGCTGCGGCAGTAGCTGGGGCCGCCGCAGTGTTAAATGCAGGGGCTGCGACTTTCATGAGAGTGACGAGGCTGTGACAACAGTAATAATGACAAATCCACACATGGACAGTTTATATTTGTGTGCCCAATGATCAATGCAACATGTTATGGTGAAACTGATGAAAGAAGTTTGTTCGTAATTTGATAAGCGGTACTGGTAAAAACATCATCAGTTTCTACAAATGGTAATCAACATTAATGGTAAAAATATTTTAACTTTGTACAAATGGTAATCTTGCAAATCTCTCATCATAGATTAATGGAATTCAGTATTGTAGAGTAATATTCAATGGAGGTAGAAGGAGGGAACTTTTAATATGATATTTTCGGTAAGTAATTAATCTCCAACTTTCTTTGTATCTTGGTAATAAAGGCATAACTCTTATGAACAGAAAAGTTGCTGATCCATCTTTGGAAGACACGCACATGGTAAGAGGTTATGTTCAAGTATGCATATTGGTAATGCAGATTGCTTTTTCCATATTTTGTTCTTATGGATAATTTTTTATTCAGAACCAACCCCATAATATGATAATGTAAGCTCATTTGCTAGAACCCAGATAAGCCTTATCCAAGGAAAAGAAATGGGCCCAGACCAAAACATCTCATAACCCAACTGAAGAAACCCAGAGGCCTGTCAAGGCAGCCCAAGCTTCTTTAATACAAAAAACCAGACAAAAGGGTTTGTTTATATCCTTGACCCAAGAACAACTGGCGAAACGGATGTTAATATTGTGAAGATTAAGAAACCAAGTCTTTGGCAGAATCTACCCAGAAAGAACCAAAGAGATAAGACAGGGTTGCCAATTTAGAAAACATATGAATTGACTTAGAAAGATTCTGTCGAGCTCCATAGAATGGTAATGATTTTTTAAAAAAAATATTTGTGTTCGAGGACGGAGATTCTTCCAGGGTACAATTTGCATTGGAATATTACTTTTTTCTCCAACACTGTTATTCACACACGGTTGCCAATTTAGAAAACACACTAAATTAAAGCCAGTTGTTGCATAAAACAAGAGAAAAATTTAGATGCAATGAATCTGTTATTACCCTGTAACTTCCTAAATTTAGAAAAGACACCAAATTAGGCCTTTAAGCAGTAAATGCAATGAAGGAAAAGCTCCGCCTATCATTACCCTGTAACTTCCTCTGTTGAGAAAGACACTTGTTGTGCTTTTATAAGTGTAAACCATGGCGTGCATGCCTATCATTCTCGTGATGCTTTACATATCTATTGGGTTTGTAGGGTATTCAGTGAGCTGTAGAGATTAGTCGTGATGCGTGCAAGCTGATCCGGACACCCCATATAAATCAAAAAAAAAAATATAAACCTACTGTGTTGTTCATAGAGAGAGGGACCCGCATTTAGGGGGTGATTTTTAGAAAATAACAATAAAAATAATTCATAATAATGAACTTGAAGTGGCTTCAGAAATGCGTCTTCACAAAGGGATTTGAAAGATTTAGGTGGAAGTTCTAGCAAAAAATAATAATAATAATAATAATAATAATAATAAATAAATAAAATTCAAGTCAAGTTAAGACAAGTTTGTTAATTGGTAAAAGGAATCGAGCAAGTCAAGTCAAGAGAAAGAGATTAAAAAAATAAGAATCCCATCGGACATTATTAATTTGAGGACTGAAGTGCAAATCCCGTGACGAATTTAAATTTTGTTTTCTTATGAATTTATCGACCAACATGATGAAGTGCAAATCCCGTGACGAATTTAAATTTTGTTTTCTTATGAATTTATCGACCAGCATGATTGCAACCTATAAAATTTGTATATAAATTGACTTGGATGGATTCAGTCGCGGAGTAACATTTTTCTATTCACACGTGGATGGCTAACAAGTGCCAATTTAGATTCGGAACCCAACTTGACATCAGCTGGCACTAAATTATTCACTCACGGGTTAGATATAGTTTGTTTTTTTGTTTTAAAATATTTAAAAAATAAATTTATTTATTTATTATATAGACCTACAAATTCCCACGAAAGGGTTAAATTATGGAATAACATTTATGTCTCACTTTCATTCACTTGCGGTTGGGTAAACATACATCTAACAAATATAAAAATGAAGAACAAGTAACAATTATTGAGTATCTAGAATTAATTAGTTCAAGATAAAAATAAACTAGCTTAAATGCTTGGATATAATTCTAAAAATTTTTAATTTATATTAATAAAAATAATATCTACTCCGGTTAAACTTTCAATGGATCCACGGTGAAAATCTGAACAATTTCTTGATAGGGCAGGATCGAAATTGAAGTCCTTCTACAGAAACAAAAAATAAAATCTAATTGTAGGATTAAAATTGGAGCCAGTGGTTTTGGACAGGCAGGCCAATCCACTCGAACGCAAAGGAGTAGAGAGACTGCTCGTTCGGATTCCTCGCAAGATGCCTCGAATCGACAGGTGACTTTGCTTGAATTTTCAGAGCAGGCGTTCTCTCCTCAGTCAAACCCAATCCAAGTTGTGTGCCACTTGTCTAGTAAAACTGTACACAGCAGAATTCTAAGCCCTTATAGTCCTAGCTGTCAAGTCTACCTTAATAGTGTCCCCGTTTTTCCACATGGTGTGCGCTTGCAAAATCGAAAATCGAAAGCTGAGTTGTCTATAAAATCCCTTCCATCCCTTCTCTTCTCGTACGTAAAATTCTTGTTACTTAAACACAGTCTAAAGCTGTTGGGCTGAGTTATACAGTAATAATGGCGGAAGATTGTTGCAGTTTCCAACTCATTAGCGGTGCCGGTGTCTTAAACTTGAAAGGACTAGAAAACTTCACGAGGACCACTAACCTCGCACAGCGTCGTCTCTCTTATGCTGCTGTTGCAATTATTGGCCCCCAAAGTAGCGGTATACTTGCAAACTTTTTTCTCTTATGTACAATTAATAACAAGAGTCACATTTTCTTTTTCTTTTGTATCAATAGTGGTTAGATATTTGCTGTAGTGATCTGTACCGTATATGTGTGTTTATAGCACACTTAGCATGCAGAGAAAGCATGTAAATTGTTTAATTTGCCTTCTTTGGTGAACAGGGAAGAGCACCCTCTTGAATCAGCTCTTTCGGACAGATTTCACGATGATGGATGCATATGAAGGAAGGTTTGGTGTTTTTAATTTGTTTTATAAATGAGGATTCGTCTATATATTCTGGTTTTGCGCCATGATATGAAAGATGGTTTAATTAGCTAATATTTTCAGGGGTCAAACAACCCAGGGGATTTGGATTGGGAAGGGTATTGGTATTGAGCCTTTCACAATTGCCATCGATGTGGAGGGATCGGACAGCAGCGAAAGAGGCCAAGTATAAATTAATTAAGCTTGCTTTGCATCTAACATTACATGATTTTGTTGTACAGAAAAAATTCGATTGATTGTTTTAAATAATTAGCTGTGCTTAATCGCCAATGGTGATTTCTTTGTCTAGCCCCAAGTGTTCAAAAAGTTTGCTTTCGACTTTCTAAGATTGTACTTTAAAACTAGTATCTACATGTGGTCATTATGAAATAATCACAGTCTATTCTTATATATGTAGGAAGGTGTAACATAACTGATATGATGCCATGGCTTTAATTATTAGTAGCGACATATGGTCATTATGAATCATAAACTCTTAATTAAGCCTTTATTAAGTTGATTAATTTAGGTAGAGTTTTAATTGTAATAATTAAAATTCAATAAAATTATTCTCCGACTTGTGTTTCTATCAACAATATTGTTATTAGAGATTTAATAGCGAGTGTCAAATTAATTCCATATATTATAGCTACGGTACTGCAATTTAAAGATTAATTTTATGATATCTGCTTTCAGGACGGCACAACAACATTTGAAAAGCGAAGTGCTCTCTTTGCTTTGGCAATTGCTGACATTGTAATAATAAACATGTGAGTTTAATTATTCCTAATATTTTCGTATCCTTATTTCTAATTTGTGAATATCTTCCCCTTTATTTTTGCATCTAAAATAAAGCAAGATACTGGTAATTGGGACAGAAATTAAAATGAATATTACAATCAAGCTATTATAAGTTCCTCGCTTTTGTTTAAGCTCTCCTTTGCTGGTAATCAGCCACGACACATGCTGGAAAGTCAACGAATTCAAGAATCAACTCGTGTTGAATTATCTTTGTATACAGGTGGTGCCATGACATTGGTCGAGAACAAGCTGCCAGCAGACCCCTTTTGAAAACAGTTTTTGAGGTACTCTAACCATTTTCCTTTGAGCCTATTATAATAGAATCCGAAGGATGAATGACATCCCAATTACTGCTGTTTACATGCAGGCCATGACGCGTTTATTTGGCGCCCGCAAAACAACCTTGTTGTTTGTTCTACGCGACCAAACACCGGTAGTGTTTAATTTGTGCTCTGTCCCTAAACATAGATTTACATCGTTTAATTACATCTGTGTCTCTTAGTGTTAATCTGTCATATATTAATATATACGGGTGAATCTGTCTCTTCTGAGTGTTCATGCAGACTCCACTTGAACGTCTAAAACATATTCTGAGGCGAGATATTGATCAGGTGCGATATTGTTCATGTACTCTCCCTTGATCATTGTGAGACAATTGTTGTCAAATAATTCCTCTTAATTATGCATGTTCTTTACTCTTCTAAATTATACAGATATGGGCTGCAGCTGCTAAAACCAAGGCTCGGACTCTGGGTGATTTTTTTAATGTGGGTTGATTTCATCTTCCTTGTCTATTATATCATTATTATTATTATTATTATGGTTCTTTGATAAATGTTAATTAAAGCTTTGTCTTTCTGTTTTTATTATTAATATATCTTTTTCATTTATTGTTTTATGAAATTAAGGTGGAGATCATTGCTTTGCCTAACTTTGTATACGAGAAGGAGAGGTTTAATGAGCAGGTAAGTTTAAGTAGCTTTTTTTTGTTTTTCAGGGTGAGGAAGCATTATGTACAGATAAGGTATAAGTTGAGATCCATCGTAGGACGAGAAGCTAGAGAGAAAACTATTAGATTCACATTACTAGTGATCAGGAATTTACTTGAATTGTATATTAATTAAGTGCAAGCCTTAATTACCAAATTAAAAATGGTGTTTATGCCCAAATCGTACCACAGAACCCTTGGTGTCATTAAACCGAATCGTCTATATTAATTAAGTAAAAGCCTAATAATAATAATGTAAAGAGGAGGAGGAGTAGGAGGTTGTGTTATTCTCATT